AGCCTTGGGGTTAGGACTGTCTCCCCCGGGGCCGGTTCATGCAGGGGCCCGGCCCGCGGCGCCGCATCCGCCCTTCCTGCGATCCCCATCCCGGCACCTCCTGCTCTTCCCGCACCAACGTCCTCCGCTCGAGGGGAATCTGATGGAGTAACAAGGGCCGAATGGCCCTGGAGGCAACAGCGGTTCGGGAACCGACGCTGTGATTCAGAGTGACTTAGATAAAGGAGGAACCCAGTCTGAAAACACAGATCAGGAGACATTTTATTCCTCACAACTTTTTATAGGCAAACAAGTGTAATTAAGTTCCTGGGATTTTCACTGTTTGACGTTAAAACACGTGGTCTCACTGTGCGTGCTCTCGTGCTGCTCTGGTTTAGGTTTGCTCTGGAGGTCGTGCAGGGGCAGGGGGAGGACCCAGTTCTGGTCAATTTAAGAAACTTTGGAATGGGGGCAGCCCCGGAACTCGACCGTGCTGGGAAATACCCGGGAATCCCCAAGCAGATCCGCCCAGGAGGACATCTCCTTGCAGGGGACATGTCCCCTCTCTGGGCCTATGTCCCTCTGCTGGGCCCCATGGACATGTCCCCTCAGTGAGCAGATGTCCCTTCAGTGGGTGACTGTCCCCTCACCAGAGGATGTCCCTTCGTTAGGCCCCATGGACATGTCCCCTCAGTGGGAGATGTCCCCTCAGTGAGCCAATGTCCCCTCACCATGGAGATGTCACCTCACTGGGCCCCACAGGGACATCCCCTCACTGGGCCACATGGACATGTCCCCTCAGCAGCTAGATGTCCCCTCACCACACAGATGTCCCGTCACTGGGCCCCTTGGAGATGTCCCCTCAGTGGGAGATGTCCTCTCAGGGGGCGCCATGGGGACATCCCCTCCGTGAGCAGATGTCCCCTCAGTAGGTAGCTGTCCCCTCCCTGGCCAGATGTCCCTTTGCTGGGCCCCATGGGGACATGCCCTCACTGGGTTTATGTCCCCTCATCACAGAGATGTCCCCTCATAGAATCATAGAATCATAGAATGCTTAGGGTTGGAAGGGACCTCTAGAGATCATCTAGTCCAACCCCTGCACACGCAGGGTCACCTAGAGCACGTGGCACAGGGCTGCGTCCAAGCGGGTTTGAAGATCTCCAGAGAAGGAGACTCCACAACCTCTCTGGGCAGCCTGTTCCAGGGCTCTGGCACCCTCTGTCACTGTCAAGAAAATTTTCCTTAAGTTCCTGTGGAACTTTTGGTGCTTCAGTTTGTGGCCATTTCCTCTAGTTCTGTCAGTGGCCACCAGTGAGAAGAGGCCGCCCCATCCTCCTCACTGCTAGGTAGCTGTCCCCTCCCTGGCCAGATGTCCCTTTGCTGGGCCCCATGGGGACATGCCCTCACTGGGTTTATGTCCCCTCATCACAGAGATGTCCCCTCCCTGTGCAGATGTCCCCCCTGGAGCCCCATGGGGACATCCCCTCAGTGAGCAGATGTCCCCTCAGTGGGTGACTGTCCCCTCACCAGGAGATGTCCCTTCATTAGGCTCCATGGAGATGACCCCTCAGGGAGCCCCATGGGGACATCCCCGCACTGTGTTTATGTCCCCTCCGTGTGCAGATGTCCCTTTGCTGGGCCCCATGGGGACACCCCGTCCCTGGGTTCATGTCCCCCGTCCCCCCCTATGGGGACACCCCGTCCCTGGGTTCGTATTCCCCGTCCCCCCCATGGGGACACCCCGCTCTTGCTCCCCCCGCCCCGCGCCCGCCCCGGCCCCGCCCTCTCGCTCTGCTCCCG